TAATTCTACATATACTATATGTGGAGCTCTAATTACATGACAGTCAAGTGCTGCACCTGGAGAATGGAGATAATTCGACATAGTACTATATGTTCAGCTCCAATGATATGACAGTCAAGTGCTGCACCTGGAGAATGGAGATAATTCGACATAGTACTATATGTGGAGCTCTATTGACATAACAATCAAGTGCTGCACCTGGAGAATGGAGATAATTCTACATAGTACTATATGTTCAGCTCCAATGATATGACAGTCAAGTGCTGCACCTGGAGAATGGAGATAATTCGACATAGTACTATATGTGGAGCTCTAATGACATGACAGTCAAGTGCTGCACCTGGAGAATGGAGATAATTCTACATAGTACTATATGTTCAGCTCTAATGACGTGACAGTCAAGTGCTGCACCTGGAGAATGGAGATAATTCTACATATACTATATGTGGAGCTCTAATTACATGACAGTCAAGTGCTGCACCTGGAGAATGGAGATAATTCGACATAGTACTATATGTTCAGCTCCAATGATATGACAGTCAAGTGCTGCACCTGGAGAATGGAGATAATTCGACATAGTACTATATGTGGAGCTCTATTGACATAACAATCAAGTGCTGCACCTGGAGAATGGAGATAATTCTACATAGGACTATATGTGGAGCTCTAATGACATGACAGTCAAGTGCTGCACCTGGAGAATGGAGATAATTCGACATAGTACTATATGTGGAGCTCTAATGACATGACAGTCAAGTGCTGCACCTTGAGAATGGAGATAATTCTACATAGAGAGATGTTAAGGTCATCAGTTAATTCATCAATTTATTATATTAATTATATTTCAATTATAGATATTGAGAAAACATAATAGGTTAAGGATGAAAATGCCATCTGTAGTGCATATTCATTATTCAATTGCAATGATGATTCTGAAAAATTCATTTTTAACAGACTGAGTATAGTATATACCTCATGAAGTGCCTTAGCGCCCTCTAGGTTCTGATGGCTGACTTTAAAACCATATGTATTGTTTGGAGTGGCACCCTCGATCTGTGACCCATCACTTAACCTACGGGTGGGAGGAGTCTTGTATTGGTTCTGGAAATATCAGATTTCACATTTAGCTACACATTGTTTAGTATAACTATAACATGTAACATTGGTTTTTATAATGAACCTGATTCAAATCAATGCAGACATTTTCACAATCTACATTGTCATTATTTATATGTTACTAGCTTTCAAAAAACTATGAACACTTCAGAAGTAAATTAATATAACTCGGAAAATGTCATTATTCTTTGAATAAGAATCGAGTCCCATTTTTACCTTTATTTGACTGGATAGTAGAATCTTTCTCAGGCTTTGCTCAGTTCCTGTTGAAAGTCGTCTGATCGGCTTCAGTCTTGCTACAGGTTTCCTTCCTGATATGGGAGTACAGTCAGGGAGAATTACTGGTGACCTCCTTCCCGCCTGTCTCATTGGCGTTGATTCAAGGGGTCCATGTTGGCTTGGTGATCCCGATCCTGGACTATCTAATGATGGTGTTCTGGGATCTTTATGGGAATCATTGTTTAAATCCCTTGATTTGATTGGAGTCTGGAAACTATGGAAACTATCAGGGGTTGTTCTTCCTTCCGATGGAGTCTCTGTACTGGTGGATCTTTTTCTTAGAATTGATTTTGGTGTTGTGGGGTCTTTATTTGGACCCCTTAGTTGGAAACTATCTGGGGTTGTTCTTCCTTCGGATGGAGTCTCCGTACTGGTGGATCTTTTTCTTAGAATTGATTTTGGTGTTGTGGGGTCTTTATTTGGACCCCTTGGTTGGAAACTATCAGGGGTTGTTCTTCCTTCTAATGGAGTCTCAGAACTGGTAGATCTTTTTCTTAGAATTGATACTGGTGTTGTGGGTCCTTTTTCAGGATCCCTTGATTGTAAACTATCAGGGGATTTTCTTCCTTCTGATGGAGTCTCAGTACTGGTGGATCTTTTTCTTAGAATTGATACTGGGGTTATGGGGTCTTTACTATCTGATGGTGTTTCCATGGTGATAGAGCGTGGTCGCAACATTGGAGTTCTTAATGTGGAATCCCATTTTATACGTTTGGTGTTATCTGGAGAGGGACTCAAAATATCTTGATTATCAGAATCTTCACTTCCCTTTGAGTCCCTGGATTTTGTTCTCTTGATTGTTCTCATGGCAGGGAACTGAGAGACGGAACTCTTAGAAATTTTGGGAGTGTTTGGTATAAAATTGTAACTTTCATCTAGATTATCAAGTGTCTTCTCTTGACAAGCTTCGGTGTTCTCATCTTGAATTTCTTCTTCAATATAACTTTTATTTGTCTCATTTTCAAATGACTCATCTTGGCTTTGCTTTGCTAAACTAATGGATTCTTTTGACTTTTTGTCTTCCATACATGTATCTTTGGCATCTGGGTTTAATTTTTCCCTTTTTGCTTCTTTTGATTTGATGTTGTCTAATATTTTCTTGGTGGTATCATCATGCCATCTTTTTACTTTGTCAAACTTTGGGGGTATCATACAAGGGGCAATAATTATAGGTTTATTTGTTAAAATTCCTCGCTTCAGTTCTTTGTTGTTTAAAACTTCATCCACAATGTTAAAACTACTAGATATTTGGTCATTGTCACTTGCTAAATCTAATGCTATAATTGTGCGCCAATTTTTAATTCCGTCATTTTGGAAATGTGATGAGTCAAAGTCTTTTAGTTCATGTACCTGAAATGAAAAAAGAAATCTTAAAATCATTTAAAATCAGTTTTAGTAATCATTTTGTAGTTCAATATTTTTAAATATTACTTGAGAAGCTCATATGAAGACATTTAGCATTGTTCAATGTTCACGCAACAAAAATAATTTGAAAAACCTTAAGAAGAAATACTGTATTCCAGTGAACCTAAGGAACAGTATTATATTGTACACAAGCAATAGTATTTTCTTCATTTCAGATTTTATAAAACATTAAACCAAAATAATGCAAGTCTTCACTCAACTTAAATCATGTACAATGTGGTTTTATGTACCAAGCATCTAAAATCATTTTAGGAATAATCCAGTCGGCGAAAACATTAATTCAATGTTTTCTATTAAATTTGATCGAATGTACCCAATTGTTACCACATTTAAGTAAATGTTACTATGTGTATGTGATTGTTATTACAATGTTCATATAATTGTTACCATGTGTATACAATTGTCACCATACATGTGTAATTGTCACCAAACATGTGTAATTGTCACCATACGTTTGTAATTGTTACCACACATGTGTAATTGTCATCATACATGTGTAACTGTCACCAAACATGTGTAATTGTCACCACACATGTGTAATTGTCACCACATACGTATAATTGTCACCACACCTTGCACACATGTGTAATTGTCACCTCATACGTATAATTGTCACCACACATGTGTAATTGTTACCACAGGTACTCAATCATAACCACTTGTTAATAAATGTTACCACATATACATAGTTTGCACCACATGTATACAGTGTTATCATATTCACACTTACTAAATGTTATATGTATGCAGTAATGTTCACATGAAGCAAAGCAGTGCAAAATAGCAAATGTAGGCTAAACAAATTAATGTGATTAAACCGAATGCTTTGTTAAGAACTTAGGGAATCAAACCATTCTAAACAAAATAATGGTTAGATTTGCATCAATTGTTAAAAATAAAAATAATGTGCTCATGCTCTTAACATAAATAATTCTTCTAAACACAATAGAATAACAACACAAAGGCAAATATGACAAAAGTCAGACTGAAGTAACCCACAGGATGTACTGTAAAATAGACAAAGGGCAACACTGCAATTTGCATCTCATAACAAACTTTGCTTCATTGTACATTACTGTACATGTCTAAAACTACACACTATAGCTAGAAGATCTCAAGTTTTTCCAATTAAAACAAAGAACTAGTCGACCCCAAAATGGGGAGGATTGGTTCTCATGATTCCCCATCAGGATATTTCAAAGAAAAATTTGTTCCCATGATTCCTCATCATATTTTGAAGTAGGATTAATACCCATGATTCCCCTATCTTTTTTTCACGGGAACTCAAGAGGTTAAACCGTTGAATACAATACAGCTACTAAAATAATTTTTTTGAAAATAATTTGGACTTAATAATAATTCTACATTCTAATCCAATTTTGATACAATGTGTTCAGGAAAAAGCTCATTATCGACCACAGAAAATGTTTGACCATGTCAAAATGTATGTCTCAGGGTCACTTGACTTAATCTTTCTCATATACAGGGTGGGCCAAAAAAAACCACCCCCCTAGCCATTACTCCTGATAAATATATATTTTTTAACATGTACACCAACAATGTTATATCATTTTAAAGATAATTTAATTTGCAACAAAATGATATATAATAGAACAATTTTGAACAACTCTGGCTCGAGATATAACCATTTATGTGACATGGGGGTCAAAAAACACCTTTTCAATTTTCATCGATTTTGCGAACAATAGCCTATTTCTACCAAATTTTACTGTTCAGTAAAAAATTGCAACATTGTCATGAGTCTTTCATAATTGGATAATATATGAATTGTTTCATTCAGTTTTTGAACCATTCATGCTCAATAAACATGTGTATGCTTACAAAACAAATTAATTTCTTCTTAAGTCTGTCCAAATATGACTCAATAGACCCATCCCCCGGACCCATCCTCTGATCGGATTCTCTAAAGACGCGAAAGCCATTGGTATAATTGATGGAACTCTGCGGAAGTACCATCGAACTCGTAATTATTCATTCTTTCAGTTTGTCTACTTCCCTGATAGGCTAGTGCTCTTCATAGACCAACTGTTCTAAATGCCCCAAGTACTATACATGTAATCAACAGGATAGACTGTATATCAGTAAGCAAGAATAGGGACATTTGCGATAAAAGGCTACTCAAATCGAGAAAGGGTAGTGGTGTCCACTCGGTTTTTCCCAAAAAGGAAAGAACGTACAGGCCCTGTTTTTGTTGAACCAGAAGCAAAAATATACTCTGAATGTTAATGACATGAGGTGTTAAAAAGGACTCCTCAAGGATATAAAAACATGTGAAAGAAATGTCATTTTCTGATAGGAAAGTGCTTCATCACACAGGTCCAATGCTACCCTTGAGTTTTTGGAGATTCGAAATGACACCATCTCTAGCCCGGACAAATGGCTTACTGACAGTCCAGATGCCAATAATGTTGATTACCACACCTGGGGGCATCTAGAACAGTTGGTATTTAAAGATACCCAGCCTATCAGGGATGTAGAGGAACTTAAAGAAAGAATAACTAGTAGTTGAATGGTACTTCTGCATACATCCATCAATTATGCCATCATCCAATGGCTTCCGTGTCTTAAGCGAATAATCTGATCAGAGGATGGGTCCGGGGGGTGGGTCTATTGAGCCATATTTGGACAGACTGAAGAAGAAATTAATTTGTTTTATAAGCATACACATGTTTATTGAGCATGTATGGTTCAAAAACTGAATGAAAACAATATAGAATATCCAATTTTGAAAGATTAATGACAATGTTGCAATTTTTAACTGAAGAGTAAAATTTGGTAGAAATAAGCTTTTGTTCGCAAAATTGATGAAAATTGAAAAGGTGTTTTTTGACCCCCATGACACATAAATGATTATATCTTGAGCCAGGGTTGTTGAAAATTGTTCTATTATATAGCATTTTGTTGCAAATTAAATTATCTTTAAAATGGTATATCATTGTTGGTGTACATGTTAAACAATAAATATTTATCAGGAGTAATGGCTAGGGGGGTGGGTTTTTTTGGCCCACCCTGTAGTTTCTCAATTGCTTCTTAAAATGTAACTTTAAGAATTCTGGGGATCTGGTCAACTAATTTGGCTCATATGTCAAATGCATGCATTTAATTGATGAAATTATTACGATCAAAAATTTGGAACTAACTATTATGACTAACTGAAGAAGACAAAAAGGCCATGCAACTATTCGGTGGGATCAAAAATATAGTTTTTTTTATTTACTATTTTTCTGAGACTAACATAGGTATGTTAGTTTCAGCTATTTCCTAACTAAAGCTTCATTTGTACATTTACAATGCCATGCAAAACTACTATGTGGGAGATAATAAAATGTTTAACAGAATATTGAAAAACTAAGATCTTCATAGCTACACTGAAACCCACAGAGCGAGAATCTGTATCGGACAACACGTTAAAATTGAAAAAACAGAAAAAAATGAGTTCTTTCAATCAGAGCCGGTCTCAAATCAATATAGAACTGGGATATAGAGAGATAAAAAGGTCCATAAAGGACCAATTATGTCAGGACAGTAGTCCCTTGGACATTATTTCTGTGTTGTATGATTCTGGCCAACATGTGGTATCAGATCTGTGGTTGAAGGTGATGTAATAGTGAAGGGCTCACCAGAAGAGAGGGGACCTTAAGTAGCCGGCCACCAACCTCCCTATAAATAGAACACCACATCTACAGTAATGACAGGCACCACTAACCACAGTCCTCACATCTCAAAATGACATTCTTTGTATTTTTGATTTATTTTGTTCCATTTATGATGATAAATGTAGTTTTGAAATGCACAGTACTCTATTCAGCACACATAGAATAATTCCATTGCATATAGTCTTTTCGATATTGTCTCTATTGCAGTCCCTCTTGAGATAATAATAAGTTAGTCATTCAGGGAGCATTTATCGTGTGAGCCTAGTAATAGAGGATACTGTATGTAAATGTCAAAATTGTTTTATTTTGGGGAACATTTTAGATAAATGGGGGATCTTTGAAATCAAACTTTGATAATAAGCCTGCCAATTCTGTTAAAGTGATATCCCCTTTCTTTTGATAATAAAATCAATGTTTCATGAGAGTGGGGTTTTAGACAAGCCCCCCTCCCCCAAAAATGTAGGCCCCATAAAAACATCTATGATACTTGAAGTGTTCCCTTCTAGCAAGTCATTTCTGTAGATAGTACTAGGAATGACAAGGAATTTTGATCAAACATGATTACAAAGAATGTATTTTAAGATGTTAAGGAATGTGAATATTTTTCGACCTCAAGGCTCAGTGACACCTTTTAACAAAAAACAACATTGCACCAACAATTTCAAGATTTTACAAAACATATGAATTGAAACATTGAAAGTAAAAATGTACATCAACAATGCAGCATCTTTTATAAATTGCGGAAATCAACTTTTCTCGAACTACGATAACTTCAAAATACAAATTGAAATTTAGTCTGTCAAATGTGAAACCAACTTGTCTGGTATAGTTATGCTTAACAAATCCATGCATATATGTGAGAATATTATCATTATAAGGGTCAGAAGGTTTCAAGAATCAATATATTAATTGACTTATTCAACAAGATGTAAAGTTGTAATTATCATACATTGTATGTAGTGATTATAAAGCATGCAGTAAGATAGCAGTATTTGCAGAAATAGTGTTCTCCTTAAGGAGAAAGTAAATAGGAGATAGAGTTATCTATAGTGGTGATGCTGTCTGTTTAGTTGAACACCAAAAACAGCCCTCTCCCACCCTATGCAAAAGAACAAGATACATAATAAAGAAATAATTTCCACCCATCATATTCTGCTTTGATATAATTAACAGCTATGTCGAACAAAGATGGGGAGTAGTACATTTCAGTGGATTTTTCCCTTGGATATGAGACATTAACATGGAAATTGTCACTACCTGCCATTTGTTACAGATGCAGACCGGGAAAATGCCAAATGCCAAACACCATCCACAAACAAGTTGGAGACTTAAACAATATGTTGCCAACTTGAAGTGGTGGCAAACTGAATCAAAATTGCAATTATTCTGGGTGGAACTTGTCAAGCATATGCAATATCAATTTAATTATTCTAGATGGAACTTGTCAAGCATATGCAATATCAGTTTAATTATTCTAGGTGGAACTTGTCAAGCATATGCAATATCAATTTAATTATTCTAGGTGGAACTGTCAAGCATATGCAATATCAATTTAATTATTCTAGGTGGAACTTGTCAAGCATATGCAATATCAATTTAATTATTCTAGGTGAAATTTGTCAAGCATATGTAATATCAATTTAATTATTCTGGGTGGAACTTGTCAAGCATAATGCAATATCAATTTAATTATTCTAGGTGGAACTTGTCAAGCATATGCAATATCAATTTAATTATTCTAGGTGGAACTTGTCAAGCATATGCAATATCAATTTAATTATTATAGGTGGAACTTGTCAAGTATAATGCAATATCAATTTAATTATTCTAGGTGGAACTTGTCAAGCATATGCAATATCAATTTAATTATTCTAGATGGAACTTGTCAAGCATATGCAATATCAATTTAATTATTCTAGGTGGAACTTGTCAAGCAAATGCAATATCAATTTAATTATTATAGGTGGAACTTGTCAAGTATAATGCAATATCAATTTAATTATTCTAGGTGGAACTTGTCAAGCATATGCAATATCAATTTAATTATTCTAGGTGGAACTTGTCAAGCATATGCAATATCAATTTAATTATTATAAGTGGAACTTGTCAAGCATATGGGATATCAATTGAATTATTCTAGGTGGAACTTGTCAAGCATATGCAAAATCAATTTAATCATTCTAGGTGAAACTTGTCAAGCATATGCAAAATCAATTTAATTATTCTAGGTGGAACTTGTCAAGCATATGCAATATCAATTTAATCATTCTAGGTGGAACTTGTCAAGCATATGCAATATCAATTTAATTATTCTAGATGGAACTTGTCAAGCATATGCAATATCAATTTAATTATTCTAGGTAGAATTTGTCAAGCATAATGCAATATCAACTTAATGCAATATCAATTTAATTCCTATTATGTAAGAAAATGTGAGACATGTGATAAAAACTGCTAGGGCCAATCACAATACTGTTTTATAGCCTCATTAAATTTCATGAAACCTCATCCTATTTAAAATAAATCAATACCCAGGAAATCACCACCGAAGCCCAGAATCTCTTGTATGAACTTAAAAACAGCAGAGCACCAAGGCCTATTAAATCCCATCGAACTACCATAAAATGGCTGCCAATAGTTTTGAGTTATTGTCTAGACAGACAGATGTATGGAGCTGTTCTCTAATATCCTCCCCCCAATTTCGTTCCATGGGATAATAGATCGAAGCAACTTCTTACTATCACATATATATCCCACAGGGTGGGCCATATGATGGGAAATTTAGGCTTTAATAAGAAGCTTACAAATATGGTATATTTTAATCTGTAGAAGTTATGAATTATTTGACAAACTAAGTATGTTGTTCATACATTTTCAAATATGAAAACTTTATATTCAGTAATGTTCACCAGATTTGGTTCACATACTTTTTCAAAAAATAGAATATATGCCTGTGTCCCATTTTGGTCAGCCCTGTGAAAGAAGAAAGTTTTTTCAAATCCTAAGCACTCAGGACACCTTAATGTGACTTAACAATAAGATTTAACTACATCCACCAAACATTATACTATGTTAAAGGTTAAGAAATGCAAATAGAAGTTCTATTCCTGAATTGCATGGCAAATCCCAAGAGTGAGAACTCTATATGCAAAAGTTACAATTCTCAAGTTTTCATTCTAGAATCCCATGCATGCCAAAATCAAAAAATATTTTTCAAACTGAATAAGATTCAGAGTGGAATTCTTCTAAAAACCTGAAAAGGGCAGAATTTTGTGCAACATTGAATAGAAAATCAAATAATAAGCCAAAAATATACTTACATAGGCCGATTCGGAAGATCTGCAGAGTCACTTGCGAATGGTTCGATATATCGCATCTCTGGGATATGATATGCCCCGAGTCCCTCTGTGACATTTGCTCTCGAGGGTGGAGGTAACATGGGAGTTATAGTGATGGCCCTCATCGTAGGTGAAAGGACGTCACTAGACGTTGTCTTGTCGGAAGCTTTCAGCATCAACAGATTTCGTAGTTTCGGCATGTGGTCTTTGCTTCCAACGGATTGATAAGTTTTCGAAGAAGCCTCACTCTGAGTTTGAGATTGCGAGATTTCATGAGAATTTTGAGTAGGATTCATCGGGAAGAACTGCGGTGTTAAACTTGCATTGACAGTTGGTGATTCGATGAACATATCCTCAAGACTCGTTCTCCTATTTTTATTCTGGGTGATATTACCATTATTCAAAGGTTGAGAATTCCCACTGTACATATAATCAGGGCTAACCAGGTTCACTGATTGAGCTTTATCTATAATAGGTGCCTGAGTGATAGTCTTTAGTGAACCCCCCTGGTTCCCATCTAATACAGCTTTCTTTTGGTGATCTAGGCTTCTTAATTCAGGGTTCAACTGTAGTCTCATTTGATCTGAATTGTCACCTTCTAATGTTTTAGCCTTTTCATTAATAGCTAAGACTCTCCATCTGACAGCAACATCATCTGGAATCTTGAAGAATATGTTATCTTTCAAACAATACATTCCTTCTAGGGTGTCAATCAAGCGTATAGGTGAGAACTTAAAGGCAGAATTCTGTTGACTTGTGGATAATTTTCTACTGCTTTGCTGCTCAATAACATCGCTAAAGAGGTTATGTGTTGTAGGAGACATCTGCAGATTTGAAGTCCACTGAAACCTTTTCACAACTTCAATAAGGTCATCCTTTGGTATTATGTCACTGTTAATTTCTTTTGCCAAAGCCATAAGATCAAAACGTGGCATAGGAACGGGATGGATTATTGAAGATGCAGATTTTTTGCGTCTTTGTGTGGCAGACTGTTGTGCCTTTCTAGATGGACCTCCTCCTCTTTGTCTGGTTTTGCCTTTTAGTCCTGAAGGTCTTTGCAGAACTTCTTGTTGTCCAAGGACTCCTTGGACCTCACTTGGTGCATGTGCATGATGCTTCGTCCTTTCTCCATTAGACTTCTGCATTTTTGGTGCTGTCTGTCTCATGTCAGAGTGGATCATTCTAGTTTGAGGCAAAGGGTGGAGACTTCCTCGGTATGGGGGCCTCTGTTGAAATCTTCCTGAATGTGGGACACCTGCACCAGGGAACTGATGTTGATGGGGAGTCATTCTAGGTGGGTAACTCCCCATATTGGGACCTCTATGTTGCATGGGAGGATGTCTAGTTAGTCCATCAGAAGGAGTGGGAAAAGTACTTGGATGCCTGTTCAATCCTTGAGGGTCAAACTGAGAGCCTGGTGGAGGCATATGAAGACCCCTTGTTTGCCGATTCAGACCCCTCGGAGGTAGATTATGAGGGCTGTATTGGTGAGGTTGGTAAGGGGTCTGTTGACGAAACTGTTGACCATTTTGGTGAGAAATCTGACCGACAGGTAAAGGAGGAGCTCCCTGTAGACTCTCCACATGGTAATTCATGTCATACTCCAATACAGGACTAACCATAGGTTCAATCAGGTCAGTTGCTGGGGGTGGAGGGGACACATCAACAACATTATTGCTTTCTACGAATAAAGGTGTGTCAGGGTTGGGAAAGCCTGGAGATGTTAGTATATTGTCAATAGCACAGTCAGGGGAAGTTAGCATTTCATTCTCAGCAGCAATTGCATCATTAGAGACCTGTACACCATATGATGGTGATCCTAATATTTCATCCATCTCCTCAGCTGCGATTGCATCAGTTGCCATTTGTAGTTCATCATTATAAAGTCCAAAGGTTGGGGACATGGCAATATGTTGTCTGCTACTGCCTGGGGTTGAGGGCACAGTCTCCATACTAGATTTCTCACACACATCATCTTGTTTGAAAGAAGGATCCAAATCAGAGATACTTTTTATCGCTGTTGATAAATCACCTTCAGGTTGATTTTGGTTTTCGCTGCTGCTTTCAAACAGTGGTGGAGATAGGAGCGATGACTGGTTGCCTTCCACACTGGATACTGGAGTATATCCTGTGCTAGGGGTATCATATGATGCATTGCTACATCTACGTGCAGTCTCAGTTGATGAAAACAGACTAGTTGTCTCATTGAATAAATTCACATTTGCACATCGAGGTTTTTCCAGCATTCCAGAGAGATCATAATACACTTGAGGATCCCTGTTGTCAGCAGGAGACATAGCATTAGGGGGAGATTCTGGCCCTGATTCTGAAGATTGTGGGGACAAAAGAGCAAGCTTTTCAATGGCATCAACATTCTCATCAGGCTCTGTCTCATCCAGATCATTTAACGTTGAAATAGTTACAGAATGGAGCAAGGATAGACTCTGGTTGAATTTATTTTTCACCGTTTTCTTCCTTCTGTATTTTGTCGATGTCGCTAAAAAGGCTTGCTGCATCCTGCGATGAAGTGATGTTGGCTTAGGATTTTTAGTTTTTTCTTTGGGGATGCTAGTATTATCAAGTTGTTTGACTGTCTTGGCCAGATTGTTCATTTTAGCATGTAGCTTTATCATACAGTCAGATAGCGAAGGTCTAGGCAAGTTATTTATCTTTGACTTAAATGGTTCTACTACAAAGTCTTGCTTCGTTTGTTTATAGAACTCAGCGAGTTTAATAGATGGTTTGTCAAGTTTTAGCCTCTTGATGACAGGGACAAGTGGTCTTAAACCCATATCCAATAGCATCTGGGTCGAGAATTTTGTAGAATCACCATGTGACTTTGATCGTTTAAGAGATTTAGCTCTAATGTCAACATTTTCTTCTATCAAACGGTTATAAACCCCTGAACTGTAGTCAACACTACTTCTCTTCTTTCGCTGAGAAATATGACTAGATCTCTCCTTCTCTCCCTTTCTTTTACAACTTTTCCTTTTTCGAGAATAATTTTCAATTTCAGAGTCACTTGTCGAGTCATGAACAGCATGCAATGTCAGCAACATTTTGCTGTGTTTCTCATTCAAAATGCTTTTGTACATTTTTTTCTGGAAGGTTTTTTCTTTTGTCGAAGAAACAGTTTTTCTGTCAATATCACTAAGAGATCCCTTTTGATCGCTGCCATCGGACTTGTTTAGGAAACAATTCTCTGGTTGTTCTATGACACATGTGTCAGAATGTGAGCCAGTTAGCGTGTCAAAATGTGTGTCAACCTGATAACCAGATGTGTCAACATTTACTCCAGAATCTTCTGGTTCTACTTGAGGGTGTTCAATGTTTGAATTATCAGTACTTTCAGATGTCTTAAGGTGCAAATCTGCATCATCTTTAAGTGTAATGGGTCCTTGTTTCTCCAATGTGCTCTCAGAGTCAGAAATATCAGAAATGTACCCAAGCATAGTTTTACTCAATTTCTTCCCAGATTCATCTTCCTTTGTTTGTACAGCAGAATTAAAATTACCAGATTGTGAATCCATTAAGGTAGAAGCTGTTGGGGGAATAGGGTCCCCAGAAGTAGTCACATTCCCAAAGCTGGGATATATTTCAAGTTCCCCGTTGAGACGTTCTATGTGTTGATCAATGTCACTCTGGCTCTCATTAAGGGTAGAATCAGACTGAGACTCAGGTCGACTACTTCCAAGATTGACATCATGAATGATCAATTTGTCACCATCTCTGTCAGAATCCATCACTAATGTGTTGCTTACTTTAGCTGTTTCTATGTTCAGCATGTCTTTCAGTTTAGCTTTTAGAGCATCTTTAAGTGATGTTTTGTTAGGCTTAACACCAACAGGGGGTGTTTGTTTTGGAGGTAAATCAACTGGAGCTTTTTCATTGGTATTAACACATTGAATCTGTGATATACCGTTGATAAGGTGATCAAAAACATTCTTATGGTAGTACACACTCTCCTGTTTCCCCGGACTTCTACCTGGGCTTGTTCCACCGGATGTACCTTTAGGACTTTTCTGAGTGTTTGTTATTGCCCCTAATGCTTGCTTTACCTTGAGAAGATTACAGGTCTTGCCATTCAGGCTAACTGACTTTCCCATTCCAGAGTAGTTATTAGCACATGCAATGTCAAGATGAAGTGGTGTATTATGTTCAATCCTGCCATTTTCTAATCGTCGGCCATCATTCTGTATCTCTTCATTTATATCCCTGGAATTAGGAAGCTGCTTTTTTACTTTGTGGAGTTGCTCATCACTATCACTTATGCTTATATATTTCGGTAGCTTTTTCTTTTCTTTGTATAACTTTTCAGCTTTTTGATCAATATCAATGTATTTTGGAAGTTGTTTCTTTTCCTTGTATAAGCGTTCAGTTCTGTCATCAATGTCAATATATTTAGACACCTTTTTCTTTTCAGATTGTGTCTCAGTTTTCTTTTTTTGTACCCCTGTCCCACAATTTTTACCACTCTGAACTTCAATATCTACATATTTTGTCTTCGCTTTATGATTATCAATTTGCCTACCTTTGGCACCTGAGAATTTTTCTTTATCAACATACTTGTAAGAATTCTCTGTGTCAGCAGTATTGCAAGTATGTTCACCATTTTCATCTTCGTATCTAATGAGTATTGGTGGAGATATATCTTTATCACTATTCTCTTGTACATCATTAGTCTTAAGATCAGAAGAAATGTTTGTGCCTTGGCCTATCAGATTCTCATTTAGTGGTGTATTCTTCAATGGTGACGTGTTTTGAGCTTTTATGCTATGATCTTTACATACACCAAGGCTAGCATTGTCTGTTGGTGATCTAGCCATCCTAGCTCTACATGTCATTGATTCATCTCTGTTATTTGACATCTTCGATGAAACCATGTCTCCATTTGGTATAGTACAACTGACTGAGCTATCTGCAATACTACATTTGATAGGGCTATTAGGATCAGATGATGAAATTTTATATTTAAAAGGGGATGATGTATTTGCCATTTGAATACTGTTATTTTTTGGACTTACATGAGCAGATGGGGGAGAAGCCTTCTTATGGCGGTATCTCTTTAATGCATACCTATGCCAAGATATATCACACTTCCTTAGTTTCTTTAGTTGCAGTCGCTCATGTCCTATTTTGTCCATATCAAATCGCTGATTCAGTCTCTCATCTACTTTAACACTATGGATCACTTCATGTATTTCAGTGGTGTTCAAGGTTCGCGCTATGTTTGTGCTTTTATAGTAATGCATAGGGACCTTGACATCCATGTCAACAAGACTTGAGATATTGGGTACTGGTTCCTCAATCATAGAAATCACATGTTTTTCCATCTCAGGGTAGCTTGCTTTGTTGGTGACTTTAGGTGTAAGAAGTGTGTATGCCAAACTGTGAGTCATTTCTGAGTCTTCATCATCAGATCTACACGACATTTCCAGTAAAGGAGTTTCCAGAGTTTCAGCATGTTCACTTATGATGTGATTTTCAGCTATGATACATTTCTTGTTCTTGTATGGACTTGCAGTTGGAGGGCCATCCACTTGTGACGGCGAACCACCAGAAGAAACACTAACCACATCATTGTGAAGTTCATTTTGATCAGCAATGTTATCACTACCAGCATGGCTTCCATCTTCAATATCATCAGCAAAGTCCTCATTTCCATCATCCTCAAATATCATATCATCATTGTTGTTGTCTCCAAGAGCACCACCCGGGAAACCACTGTCATCATCATCCTCGTCATCTCTATCATTATTATCATCTCTGTTTTCTTCATCTTCTGGATCATCATCTTCATTCTCTTCAGCATCATCTTCATCTTGTGGTGTCTCATCTGAAACTCCACTCGTATTAATTTGTGCTATTTCTGATGGTTCAGTTTCTTTTAATAACATTGAATTGTCGTTAATACCACAGACTGCAATTGCTTCTTCTATTGTTTTTTCTTCATTGATTGCTGCATCTTCTTGATTCTGCGTCATTGTGACATCACTTTCTACTTGTATCACATTGGATGTATTTATCGTTTGAAACACAATATCTTGGTCAGCAATGTCTGGTGTAGTATGCGGGCCCTCTTCATTATCATCAACACATTTCTCCTGATCTTCAATAACACTTTGATGTTGAGCTACTGCCTTTGCAACTGTATCAGTAGAATCCATTTCAGATGCAACTTCAGCATTTTGAACAATTGTGGATGATAATTGGTGTTGAGATCCGACTTTAGTTTGCATATGATCATTGTCTTCACTATCACCTTCTCTGTCCTCCTCACTATCTGAGTAATCAATTAAGGCAAATACCTCCTTTCTAGCCTTTGATTGTGAACTTTCTTGTTGAGCAACCCTCTCTTCAACACTTCCTGCAACTTCGCTAAGAGTGTGAACTGTGTCAGATTCATCTCTAGAAGGTTTTGACTGTTCAGGGGTAGCGATATCAATTTCTGGTTGATCTATTAAAATATTGGGTTGATTAACAGTACCATCTCGTAATATATCTGTTGATGTTTCATCTGGTAATCCTTCATTTTGGTTCAAAGATTCAATTTGAGAAGACTCTTTACTGCCATGTTCAATAACCATCTGGGATGACATATTTAGCTTTTCTGGACCATCTATTACAGGTTCTTCTTTCTTTTCCACTATGACAGCCGATTCTAATTTATAATCACATGCAGAAATTCCTTGTGATGCACAATCAGGCATTTCAGCTGTGTCACTATCAACAGTATCAATGTTTTGGTCTTTATTTTCTAGAGTTATATCTCCAGACTCTAAATGCTGATCATTGTTTGATGACATTTGAACATCTGTGTTGGTCAAGCAGATTGGTTCTTCATTTTCCAGAGCTTCATCAGTTAAAGATTCTGCTGTAATTCCTACTAGCCCCCCGCTAGATTGTTCAGAATCTGCATCTTCATTCTCTTTAGACTCAGTCTCACAAGATTCACTATCCTTTATGTCTGCATCACATGGCTCATCTTCATTAGATGGTGTATCATATGGTTCATCACTTTTGGACTGTGTATCACAGGCCTTATTTTCATCAGATAGTTTATCACATGTTTCATCCACTTCGGAGTGTGTACCACAAGATTTGATAACATCAAATATCAATTCATTTGCTTTCTCTCGGGAAGTAATTTGTGGGTTAGAGGCATTGCTGTCATCTTTGAAAGGAACATTTTCAGTTTCCTGCACTTCTGAGGCACTGAACATTTTGCTAGCTAATCCAGTTTCGACAGGTACTATGTTGGAAAGAGATTCAAGACTTTGAGGACTTGTCTCTGCCTTTTCTTCATCATCACCCATTTGAAAGCTGGTGGGTTCTTTAAATTGAGATACAGTTGAAGATTCAGCTACATGCACATCAGAGAACTCCACTGTCGATTCAATATTATGTGTTGAATGATCACTACAATCTTCCATTGTCTGTACAGTTATTTGTGTGGACGATTCTACAGAACTTTTCATCAAAGGATTTATAGTTTTCATGACAGCAGATTCAACATTTTCTTCAATTAACGGTTGATTAGTTCTCTCTCTTGTCACTTCAATCTCTGCATGTTTTGAAGCTTCAACAGAAGAATCATATTTTAAGGGTTGCCTTCCTTCTTCTTTTTCAGAGATTTCATCTTGTTCTGTTTCATCTTTACTCTCTGATGCAGACTCCAGATCATCACTGCTCTCAATGGGTACCATCCCAGTCTCTCTGTTTAAGTTAACTATGTGCTTAATTATATCATCATTTTCATAATCAGCGCTAGATTTCCTTGACCTACTTTTGGGTTTTGATCTTTTGAGTTTGAGATCTTCTTTTGTTGTTGCATCAGGGATGGACTGTGATTGTTCTTTGGAATTGGCAGTTTTAATATGTTCCTTCTTTTCAGTTGATAGGGTTTCTTTGACAGTATCATATATCTCTTCGAGTTGGATAGGTTTCTCAGTTTTTTCACTTTTCTTAATATCAATCTGCTCAGACTCACTAGTAGAACTTTTATCAGCCTTTGTAACACATTCTTCTGTAACCATTTCCTTCTCAGCATTTGTTTCTAAAAGATTTGATGCTTCAGTTTCTCCAACATGTGATTCAATTTGAATTTTGACAATACTGGATTCTACAATATTTTCTTTTGTAAGAGTATCTTCATCTGTATTTGGTTCAGCAGGTAATAATAGTTTCTTATTTGAAATATCAGCAGACGAACAAGGTTCACTTACAGATTCTCCATCTTTGTTATTTGCCTCTTCCTTGTTGTTCCCTAATGTTTCAGCAGTATTATCATTCTTTGTTTCTTCCTGACTAGTCGACTCGATGCTGACGTTTTCATCGTCTTCAATATTGCTGTTTACATGTAAATCATTAATGGTGTCTGCATGTGGCACTTGACTAAGGCTCTTATCACTACTCATTGGCACATTGTCCTCATTTGTGGAACACTGCACTTGTTGGTTATCATTAGAAGCATTATTGACTTCATCAATAGAGGCTTGGGTTTCATCAGTACCAACATTATCTTTCACATTAACCTCAACAGATGGCAAAGTTTCATCATTAGCAATGTTATCCTTCACATTAATCTCCTGTTTTAATTCATTCACAGTTTCTAGAGTTTCATTAGGTGGTAAAGCTTGTTCTGTACTTTCATCTGTGACAGCACTGACAGGTTCATCAACCTCTTTTACTGGAGAGTTGTGTCTGTCTTTAGGATCGTCATCTTCCTCAACCAACACACTCTGAGAGGTTGAATCTGAATAAGCATCATCTAGAAGTTTCTGTGGTACACCAAGTCTCTGCACTTGAGGAACATTTAATACTGTCCTCGCCAATGGGCTCTGCCTCTCTGCAGCCTCTAATGCATCTATGCTCCTTTGTTTCATCAACTGGTCCTTTTTCTTCTGCAAGGATAGCCTTGTCCTCATCTTGGTTCTTGTTGCAACATTTGTAGTTGGGCCATTTGTATCAGAGTTTGAATCACTACTATTCTTTCTACAAAGTCCCATTGACTGTAGGAATGGTTCAATGGTATCTTCATTAGCATCATCTTCGGGGGATTTGTTATGGGGTTGTACATTATCTTGTGTGTCTTTATCAAACCCTTCTGATGCTTTTATATACGACCTCTCCAGTGGCTGAGATTCTTTAATCGGAGAATCTGCTCCAACTTCATTGCTCACTGCTGGAACAGTATTTCCAGGCTCTACTGTAGGTTTATTGTTTACCCTGTTATTGGTGGGTTTTTCTGTATTTAACTTTGATGGTTCCTCGGGAGGATTCTCCTTTAGATATCTGAGAATTTGTTTCTTTCTATCCATTGGTGACATGATTGATTCTACCTTCTCAGCAACCGTGACATTACCCTTTTCTTTGTTGTTTGGACTGGTCTTGCTGATTTGAAGAGAGGTAAGAGGCTTAACTTCAGAATCTGGCTTTCCTCTAAGAGGATATGTCTTGATAGGAGCAGCAATTGTTCGTCTTCCAGGACTCCTTGATTTAACCTTTGGTTTTTTCTCAGGGAGGCCTCTTGCCCTAGGAGAGTTTGATGATCTATATGAGAGTCTAGGTTTAAGATATGGGTTTTCAGCAGGTGAGGTAGTTGGGGTTCTCTGTGATCTTCGCCCTCTTACTTGGTCAGCTGCAACATGTTGAGAGCCTGTTGTTGGAGTAGTAGAGGTTTTCTGTTGAGACACCTTTTCTGGTGAAGATTCCTTTGGTATTGCTGACAGAACAGTGTCATCACAGCCAGTTTGATCCACATAAGTATCAAGATCGCTGACATTGGAACTATCTTTGTCAATACTTAACTCTCTATTCAAGAAATCACTTTCATATTCTGAGTCAGTTTTTGCATATTTTATTAGTTTTTCAGCTTGGAGGTTTAATTTCTTAAGAGCGACAACGGGTGATTTCTTTGGATCTATTAATGGTGGTGTTGCATCCTTAGTGCTTACTAAAGTAGAAAACTTAGCACCTGGTTTATCCTTTGAGTCTTTACAATCATCTTTCACAATATCTGACTCAGTTGGTTTATTATGCTCCTGGTGACCTTCTATTTGAGACAAGTAAGGGTATGGGGAACTTCCTCTTGGTGTTGATGATTTATATGCAGGAGATTTACAACTAGATTGAGCAGTATCACTACAGCGACCTGGCGATTCAGCACGGAAGTAGATCAAACCAACAGGTGAATCAGAATCATCGCTATCCACAGCTACAGCTTGTACATTCCCATGTAGGCCATCTTCAATCTCAATACCATCTGAAGCAACCTTAGGAGCACCTTCACTGACAGGCTGAGTTTCATACTTATTTAGAATCTCTTCAACATCATCAGTTTTATTTCTTGTAAACTTATCCCACTTAGAGTAGGTTTTACTGCTTTTCAGTAGAATTTTTTCATCAAAATCTGGGGATGATCCGCGGCTTTTATCACTTGTGTGGTCTTGGGACTTCTCAGATGTCTCAATTATCTGTGGTCCAAATACTCTTTCAACATCATCTATCACATTTGGTATATCTGGTAGAGTGTCCTTTTTGGTGTCAGTTGCACCCAAAACAACATTTGGATGTTTTTCTGTTGAAGGTTCTTCATCAAGCAAATTATTCTGCTTTAACAGAAGGGGCTTTTCATGGAGATCCTTTTTGATTTCATTCAATTTCTTTATTCCTACATGTTTCTTCTTTCTTGAAGAATTTGATATTGTCAGCTTTGAAATGTTCTGAGCTTTAATTGGCCTGATTGACCTTGGTGACCTCTGTCTTGGTTGCCTTGGTGACTTAGCTCCCAATGCTTGTGCGTGCAAAACTGGAGGTTGACGACTCTTGCGGCGTTTGATATGTTTTCTTTCCTTTTCATCTATTTCGGTGGCCTCACTTGATGATGATGAGCCATATTCTATGTGGAATGGTTTTAATATAGGTGGTGGTTCATCGAAGATGACATCTACCTCTACTGCATTGATTGGGTGACTTGGCTTCATTGTTGAGATCTCAGTTGGAGATATAAGAGGGGGAACCTGCCCTAACCCTTTCTGAGACTCATTCGGGCCATTTGGTACATTGAGCCTCTTCTGTATGCTCTTGGGGTATATTTTCCTTTTCACTTTTGGTTGAAAGTTTGGTCGGGGTGATCCATGGCGCTTTCTTTTACCAAAGAACTGTAAGCTCCTGGGGCTTTTGGGACTGTGTGGCTTTATCAATGGCTCTATACCTAAGATTCCATATTCGAGAGCTTCAATGTCAATGTCACTGATGTCAGGCACTGTTAAATCAATAGTTTGTAAATTATGCTGTTCAACTATTTCACTTAAAGAAAACTGACCATTCTTTCTGATATCATACAACTTCACAAATTTTTTTCTGATTCCACAAAATTTACCATATCTCCTCAAATGACATGGTTTATAACAGCGTAATTTTTTTAATTCTTTGAGGTCTACTTTGATTTTACGCTTTTTTGACTGAGTAAGTTTTTTTGGCCGTTTTGCTTTATGCTTCTTTTCACCAAATGGTATGATGGTTATAGGTGGCAGATTCACTTTGCTTCCAGAAGGACGTGTGAGCGTCATGTTTATAATAGTGTTTTTTTGCCTACTAATCTCTTGAACTGGCTTGGTATCAGTTTTTACCCTTTCATCTATACTATCTACTGGCACATCTTTCTTATCATTTTTATGCTTTGCAGTGTCTACATTAGGTTTTGTTAAAAGTTTCTCAGTATCTGATTCAGTGAGGACAATGATTTCAGACTGGTTAGAGGACTGACTTGACCTCCTTTTTAGATTGTTGGGATGGTGATGCGATGCTCTATGACGTTGATGACCATGAATTGGGCAAGTAGGATTATGCCGATGTTTATGTTGACGTGCGGAGAATGATGGTTGTTGATGAGGCGATAGCTGTTGATTTGTTGATGAAGATGGCTGGGGGAGGTTAATTGAGGGTAAATCTCCAAAGTCTTGGGTTATATCTATATATTCTACTTGACGTTTCTCAGCAGATTCATCGTTTCCTGTCTTAAAAGAATTATCATTATCCATACTCGTATCACCAGACTCCTCACTTTGTGGTTCATGAGGCTTAGCAGTTGATAGCCCATCATTAGGACTACTTTCCTCCAGTTTATCATTATTACCCTTTGGCCTACCATTGTCAGGTTTGTCATTATATGAAGCTTTGTGGTCCTGGGGAGGCTCTTTTGAGTTGTTAGAGCCCTTGTTAGAGGAAGATCCCCTGGGGTTAGCTGCACTAAGACTTGAATCAACTGGTGTATTAGCCTCATTTACATTGGCTTCTTGTGATGACCCTGAATGATCCATTTTTTCCATTGCACATCTATTATCCAGCACCTCGGTTGCAACTGAATTTTTAGTTTTACTTATGTTATCGGTATTACAATTATTTTCATTTCTAGGCGGGGTTTTGAGGACACTTTTTAATTTTTGAATCCCAGCGAGGAGTTTGGTTTCACCAGGAGTAGGTGGAGTTTTACTTCTAGGTGGGGTGAATGAAGCCCTAGGTGGTGTGACTGATGCCCTAGATGGGGCAACCAAATTCCTAGGTGGGGTGACTGAAGTCCTAGGTGGGGTGACTGAAGTCTTATGTATGCTACTAGGCCTGCTATTAACCTGACAAGCACCTGGTGAATTCTGGTTGCCAAGAGTTAATCGATTGTGTCCATGAGGCGAGTTTTGAGCACCCACTAAGCCCTGATCAGAACTTGATGAGTTTTGAATACCCGTAGAAATATTGCGTCCATGAGGGGAAGTAAGATCACTGTCTCTATGGACATTTAGTGAACTGTGGTGACCACTAGCACCTGAACTATTTTGTCCTTGGGAAACATGCTGCCCGATATGTGTATTATATCCAGATATTGCACTATGGGGATTGTTGAAGGAATTTGAAGCCCCACTTATTGCATGATGACCTCGGTTTTGTTGGCTATTCGGATTGCCTATATGTCTAGTACTTTGGTGCGTTGTTACCGTGTCACTTGCCGGTTCCTCGTCAGAATCTGTGATATCAGAGAGTTCCATTGTGTGATCAAGACGATTGTTTGTGCCAGGGCGAGTGTGCGTTAATATCGGATCTATATCTAGTCTCTTCTTAAACGGACCTGAAGACATAATACAAAGGGGTCCTTTCATGAAATGCATAAATTGTTTTAATTAGAAAAATTGCAAATCCGTGGAGTAGCGAAAAACCTACCAAACAAAATCTTATTTTATAAATCACTCATGAAAATTTCATGATATATTTTATACCAGGTAGTAGTTCTGCCACCTCCTGGCAAAATCTACAATCATGACAGCCACATATATTCAGCCCAAACAGGACATAAAATATTTAAGTAACAGCTTAAAATATTGAATTTTAGGGCATATAAATATGAGCAGACATTTTGAGTAATTGCAAGATTTTGAAAAAGTTTCAATTGGACTGGCATATCATACAATATGCATTAATCCATCAAACATAATTGGAAAAGCCATTTTGAATTTTGAGATTGTAAATCAATAAAGTGTTAATATGAGAAAATCCTGTTCCAGCAAAGATCACAATTAGGCTTCAATAAAAACCCAATCACAAGTATTAAGATAAGATTATACTATAATAAAGATGGCAGTAATTTTGATTTCAACTTTGAGTGGCCATATTGGAAATTCCTTCTTGAGCAGAGACTTCATGCTCATTAGGCAGAGGCAGATAAAATTTGAACTAATCTTTCAACTACTATTTAAGTTATCAATGTATTCATTTTTTTATGAAAAATGGTGCCCATTTTGAATTGAGTGGCCATATTGCTAATTCCTTCTCAAGCAAAAGTGCTATGCCCAAACTGAACCAAAGGCCTGTAAAATTAGTATGTCAACCATAATTTGAATTATCTGGAGAGACGTATGGACAGTACAATAGTCAGGTTTTTCAATATGAATATGAACTTAGATAATGGGATAATGTACAAAAAACTTCACATAAACAATGCAATTAGATTACTAATCATTATACTGTGCATTAACAGTGGAAATTATCTCAAATGAAACAACTTAAAACATGAAAATGGCAGATGACAGAATGTAGCAAAAAACTGTTTCAACCTATATTCACAATAGAGAATGGCATGAATAGCAGATTGATTGATTTTAAATCTAAATTTTAGTGCTTATGAATTTTGACAAACCTAGTTTAGGATCAGGAGGTCCGTCAAACTGAGGAATATCATCATCTGATTGGTCCTCGTATGCGACATCAACCCACTGAGAGCTGTTCCATGAAGTATCCATACCCCCTAGATCATACTCAACTCTGAAATAATCAAATTAAGGTTATTGTTGTTCGTAAATAAGTAATTTCTAAAACACATCCTCACAAAAGTTCAAAACAAGCTAAAGGATAACATGTAAAAAAATACTCATGATTTTTCTCACTTTGAAGTGTTATTGAATCAAATTGGTTTTAAAGTTAGTGCAAGTCTATTATCAAAATCTCAAGTGAGTGGCTTGCTTCTATTATGGGGTGATCATGACTTACAAAGTGCACTCAGTTGATGTCAAGGAACATTATTTGGTTAATGCATTCAGATTCTAAACATATTTCCCTACATTTATAATATAATATAATACAATGCTCTAGAATGCAATGCAATACAATGCAATGCAATACAATACAATACCATACCATACCATACAATACAAAACAATTAAAAGATGAATTCAGATATTAATACTGTGAATGCAGCTGAAGTTGATGGAGTGGAATGACTCCCATATATAATGACTGAATGTTAACTTACTGCTTTTCAGGTGAACTTTCCTCATCATTTATAACTTGAGACATTTCTATATGGTCAGCTTCATCTTCCAAAAGCACTTCCCCTGGGGTCCCTACAATTCACAAATAAATAATGCAATACAAATAACTGATCAGCTGTGTACTATTCAGTGTACCTACTAACACTGATCACTCCTGTATAATTTCATATGAAATGTTGAGATATAACAACATAATAATTCATGAAATGAACAAGGCGTTAACATTCAAAATGTCACCACCTGCCATTTGTTACTGAATGCCAACCACCAAAAACTGAGCACTATCCGCAAAATGTAGAGACTATAACAAGGTGTGACAATTTGTGGTAGTGACATAAAAAGGAAC